TCGCAAGGACTCTCGAGTCCATGCACTACCTTCCACTAATCATGACCAATACCCGGGGCCACACCTTCTGATGCTATCACATTGCAACATACTCATTCCATCTCCTCATACAGATCTATCAACACATGTAGAGTCTTCAGCATGACTGGACCGCCTTACCAGGCCTTCAGCCAATCTGGACCACTCTCAGAACCTTCAGCATGTCTAGACCGTCCTCCAGGGCCTTCATCCTATCTGGACCATCCTCCGAGCCTTCGGCCTGACTGGTATGCCTTCCGGCCTTCAGTCTCCCCGGACCGCTCAAACTATCATGCATCATCCCGAACTATCCCTCCTGGGAATTCTGCCCATACATACTTTTCTAGCCCTCTAGGGGTTCCGAACTCTAACTTCATTCCATATACTCAGATCCCAGCCTGATCCTAGGCATTACAACCACCAATCACCCTATCTGAAATCCTTGGTCTGTACTCCGCCCCATCGATGTGTCACTTGCTCATACCAGCCCATACTCTTAGCTGACTGAAACACTGTTGGATCCCAAACCGCTAATCGAACTCTAACGCTTATCGATCCTCTTGAGAATTTTCCAATTCTCCCCATTTAGATCACTGACTATCCACCACCGGTTGCCATAACGAACCTCCCTTAACAACCCTTCACAACACATACCCTTACACACGAACTGATTCCCACTAGAACGAACAACCTTCACCAAATCACATATCAACACTGATCATGTCGGACTCAAAAGAAGCCCGACCTTCAGCTAACTACTCCTCAGACTACAGATGCTACTCGACATTCAGACCAAAAGCCGGATTTCCCACTAATAATCCCCATGGATGATAACCAATGAAACTCCCAATACCAAAACCCTTAACCGAACCATAATCCTCAAGGAACAAACGAATACAATACCAAAAATCACACAACGAGACTAGCAGATATACAATACTCCATAATAATCACAAGATAACAAAATATCAAGAAGGAAACATACTCGCAGCTGCATTCAGCACTGCCCTGACCTCCTCTGCTGAAAGCTGAAAAGCACGACCCTAAGCCCTCGGGGGCTCCGCTACACCCTGACCTCCACCCATAATCCTCAAAGTGGCAGGTGTTGGAGCCTACACCGGTCCTGCAGCAATTTGTGGACAGTTGACCCTCAAGTGTCCAACCAGATGCCAATGATAACAAATCCTCAAATCCTGAATCGTGGTTGTCTGCTGACAATCCCTCGCATAATGCCCCTCCCTTCCGCACTTGTGGCATGCACCACCAGACCTACAAACTTCAGTGTGACCCTTCCTGCACTTCCCACAAGTGCGGCTGCTCTGATCTCCCAACCTTGAATCAACGATCATGGACCATTTTGGTGCCGGCTGCGACTTTGTCGGGGCCTACCTCTGCTCTCTCAACTGTGACTCAATCTCCATATCACGCCGCCGAGCGGCCTCCTTCAACTCCAACAAGGTCTCGCAAATCTGTGTAGACACAAACTGCCTGATATCCCTCTTAAGCATACTTAGATATTGGGACATCTGAGCCTGCTCTGAAGCAAACTCCAGGCAAAACATCCACCTCTCTGTGAACACCCTGGTGATCTCAGTTACCAACTTTGAATCCTGCTTCAGCTCCAGAAACTCCTGAGCCAACCTCTCCCTCTCAACTCACGGAACATAGAGAGTACTGAACATCTCCCTGAACTGATCCCAAGAAACCGCAGCTTGCTGCGCATCAGAATACGATCCAGTGGTCAACCTTCACCAATCCTTTGCCCCGAGCCTCAAAAGCTTCAGAGCACCTCACCCTCTGATCAGCAGGGCATGAACACGTGAAGAAACACCCCTCCATGTCTGACAACCATCTTATAGCAACAATCGGATCCTGAACTCCATCGAAGGTAGGGGGCTTCATATTATCGAAGTCCTGATACTGAAAACCTCTACCGGCTCCTCCCCTTGCCGCTGCTACAACCGTTGTAGCCTCCGCGGAAGCCATCTCTGTAAGAGCTGCATAGCGCTCATAAAATACTTGACCATGGCGGTCTTGATCGACCTAAACAGTTCTGGAAACTTGGCCCGAAACATAGCAGCAACCTCGACATGCAGGATCTCACGAATCCTAGCATCCAGCTCATCTGTGCTCATCTTACCAATAACCTCGGGTGGTGCTGACCCACCCTATCCGCCTCCTCCTGGTCCCGATCCTGACCGGTATCCACTCCCAGCATGCCTCGTAACCACCATACTGAAATTACCGTAAAACATCAGACGCTTCCCACTAACCCGAGAACCGAATCTCGACCCAACCCTAGGGGTTGTGACTTCCTTGATACGTATATGGGTCCTGTGCTTTCGGTAGTATGGGCCCATACTACCTTCCACACCTACCCATATTTATATCAAGTATCACCACATGACCCTAGTGAAGAACAGACATAACAAGCACTCAACCCTCACTCCTACAGGAACATTGGAAATCTCATATAGAAAGAAACCCTAGGCTAGCAGGCATCATAAATCGGGCAACTCTATCATGCAATTCCTAAAGATCCCTAGCCTAGTACTAGCATGTTGTTCTATCATATCTCATCAACAAATAACTTGTATGGTATTTTGTGGTTACTTACTGGCTCCGGCTGATCGTACCTCTACGTCCTCCTTTACTTATTTTTGAAAACCCTTTTTTTTAATTCTCTTTTGAAAACTCTCCTTGATTTGAGACTGGATTCACACGAATGTTCCTCTAATTCTCTCAAACCAAGGCTCTGATACCAACTTGTAACGCTTTAAAAATTCCAACCAATTTAAACTTTTCAAAAACAACCCAATTTCATAAAGTTATTACAAAAAGGCTTTCAATACATTTATTATCAGAGTATTTCCCAGAAACCACATCGTAAATACATAAAACCCAAGGAGCGGTACGATCATGCCTTTTCCTTGCCACGGTCTCCTGAAGTACCTGAAACATTTAAACCACAACTGTAAGCCCGAAAGCTTAGTGAGATACCCCTAAAATACCAACGCCATCCAAACATAACCATATCATATAACCGATACAGAGCAGCCATGCACTTTGGGTCTACTGTGTGACTGGTCCACCGCACCGGCCAACAGTTCACCTGGTCCACCCTCCGAGTCTAGCAATATACATCGAGTCTACAGTGTGATTGGTCCGCCCGCACCGGGCCTTCAATCCACCTGGTCCACTCTCTGAGTCTACAGTATGACTGGTCTGCCCGCACTGGGCCTTCAGTCAGCCTGGTCCACTCTCCGTGCCTCGGCACGTCTGATCCGCCCTCGTGGGGCCTACAGCCTATCCGAACCGCTCTCTGGGCCTTCGGGATAACTGGTCCACCATGGGTATGTTAGCCTACATCACAAAGCAGGATCCGCCTCAACCCAACCCCATTCCAACAACCATATGAACATAAACATATAATCATATAACAATCCCTGGGTATGTTGGCCTACAGCACAAAGCATGATCTAGCAAGACTACCGACCTAACCGGTCACTAGCATAGCATCATCCAATATACCAGGATACCAACCTTAACCAGGTCTCTAACATATACCATCCTGACTACCAGGATGCAAACATAGCAAAGCAATAACATAACAACAATACCTGGATTACAATCCGATAAAGGGTTGGCCTTGGTGCCTTAGACCCTGTTGATATAGTGAGGATAACTCACCTCGCAACTATAGACTGAAAAGGATAAGATCACACTGCTCCAAGCACCGACACGAACTCCACCACTGATCAATACCAAAATACTGAACTCAATAAATACCTATAATTACCAAAATACCCCTGGAAGTCAACTGGTCAACTCTTGGTCAAGGTCAAAGTCTACAGTCAAAGTCAACCCTCTTGACTGACTCTACTCACAGAGTCAACCCGTTGACTTGTCGAGTCCCCATACTCTGAAACTCCCATAACACAACTCAACTCACCGAGTCGCCCTAAGACTCACCGAGTTCCATAACTCTAAGTCTACCCAAACTAAACTCACCGAGTCATCCCTTCACTCACCGATTCACAGCTTAACCAGAAAAGGTTAGGACCTCACGACCAGACTCGCCGAGTCCAAGAACAGAATCGTCGAGTCCAAGGCTATCTTCAACCAACTCGTCGAGTTGTTCTTCCAACTCGTCGAGTTGCTGGCTATCTTCATGCAACTCGCCGAGTACACCCATGTGACTCGCCGAGTACCACTAGCTCTTAACCCATACAGAGGCTTTCCAAGCCATGAAGGGTCTCAAATCCATAGATCTACTCCTATACAAGCCATCCATCACATAAAGTGGCAAAATTTACGTGAATCCAAGGAGATCTAAGCATAATACACTCTTGGCTAAGGTTTGGGGCTAAAAGGCTTCATCAAGCTCTTGAACAGGGACTTTATGCTCTTTTGGATCATCACTACTCTACATCTGAGGTAGCAACCTCAGATCCAACCTCCAAACTCAAGATAGCACTAGATAAATTCCCAAAAATCCCACAAATGATAGATCTAGATGGATAACAGCTCAAGCAACGAATCTTTACCTCCAAAGAAGACTCCAACAGAAGAATAAGCCAAAACCTTGCAAAGCCCCTTGCTCCAAGCCTCTTAATCTTCAAAGATTTCTTCAACAAACACTCCTTCAAGATCCAAATGCTCTCTAATTCTCTCACACACGAATATTGGGGTTTATGGACTTGAGGGGAGAGCAAAGAGGCTGGGGAGAGGGTATTATGTTCTTTATATAGGGCTCAATCCCTGGGATTAGGGATTTCTCCATACAGCACCAACTCGCCGAGTTGGCCACTTAACACGCGACCAGAATCGCAACCCTACTCGCCGATTCCACCCATGGACTCGCCGAGTTGACCATTCACATTTTCACTTTAAACCCTAAACTTGCACTCTTGAGCTCGGGATGTTACACTTCCAATGATAAAAGTGCCAATCAATTGCTCCTCTCATTCTATCTGAAGCACATGAAGCCACAGTATGAAATGTGGAGTGCTATCAAGATCACAGTTGTGAAGGTCATAGGTCCAAAAGAAACCGAAAGCTTCCCTAATGCGAAGTTTAAGATTGTGCGAGGTTCTGCTAGTCAGGTTTGTGAATTCACCCTTGCTGACTTACCAAGCCTCAATTCCTATGACTGGATCATGCTTTACAACTTACTACTGAGAGATGGATAGAAGTACGAGCCCGTTATTGCTCACCTCAAATTAGTGTTAGTTTCGTATGTTCAAGAGGTTGGGATAATGGATGTGGAAATAGTTGTTGTGTTGCGAAGAAAGCCATTTGTTCCTCCTAAGGATGCTCTAGAAGGATTTGTAAATTTGAAGCTTGGGAAAATATACAAGGATGGGTGGTATGTGGTTTTCAGGCACGGGAACGAAATGACGCCAACTTTCTCAAGGCCAGTTTCTTCCTTGCTGATAAACACATGTACTTCACTACTTTCCTTGAGTATAGTTTGGAAATGATTAATAAATTGAAAGGCAACAGCCTAGGAAATAAGAAGTGCTTTCCGGATATGATCTTCTGGTATATCCAGGTTTGCAAGTCTCTGTTGAGCATCATTCCTAAGGTATTTGAAGTGTAGAAGGGAAACAAGTCTTGATGGACTCTCTCCTCAATGGACGCAAATAGGGAGATTTTTTAAAATATTATGTTGCGTCATTGTTTGTTTTTGTTAGTCTATTTATGTAAACAGGCTTGGCCTTTTCCACCCATCATTTATTAGGGTTAGAGTATTTAAGGTGCATGCATGCATCGTGTTTCTTAACGTTGGCAATAATTCTTGTAACCCTAATCATGCATCTACAGTAGCACTTCTTAATCGAGTTCTTCTGAAGCTGTAGATTTTAATCATTCAGCAAACTTAAGAATTTAAGTATTTTTCTGCCACATGAATTTTGTTATAACCTAGAAAATCCATCAGTGGTATCATAGGGTGTATGAAAATTAGGGTGTATGAAAATAATTCTTGTAACCCTAATTGGCAATAATTTAAGTATTTTTCTGCCACATAATTCTTTTAAGGTCATTAGGGTGTATGAAAATTAAACCCTAATGACCTTAAATTTTTGCAAAAGGTTAGATTTCTTGAAACCCTAGCCTCCAACCATATTTTCGAAAGTTCTAGGGTTTCCCTTAGGATTTATAGTTTCCTTAATTATAATTTTAAATGCCTTAAATTTGGATAACTAAAACCTAGTAACCCTGATCCCTTAATTTTAAAAATTTAGAAGGGTTATTGGAATAGGATTAAATTTGAATTATTTAATTAATTGTTTAATTGAAAATAATTATTTAATCCCAATTGATTTAAATTTGAACTATTTTATTAATTTTTTAATTGAAGATAATTATTTAAATCCTTTATGATTTAAATTAAAGGATAATTGGTAAATTATTAATTATTAAAAGTTTAATTCGAAAAATAATTTTAAGCCCTAATATTTTTAAAAATTTTAAAATACACTTTATACGATTAAAAGTATAATATATTATATGTATAAGACAAGTCAGTCAAATTAGTAGTAAACCACATTCACGAAGCCTTACTTTAATGGGGGTATAAGGAAACGATATTTACAATGACCAACATTGAGTGTCCACTCTCACCCAACCGGTCCCTTGTATAATGGAGGGTCATTAGCCAAACGAACTTGATAGAACATAACCTCATTAAAGTATGATACTATAAAGTACTAGAACCCACTTTAAAATCTCACTCTAGATACTTTAGGAAAAATTTGAAGTGTATGCTAATCCATGAAAATGCACATCACTCTTTGTATGTCGTTAGTATAGCATGTGTGGTTAACCAGCACACTAATTTGGGACTATAAAGTTGAGTGATGGAAAAATAAAAAATTATCATTGTTGATGGAGCATGTGTGGTTTACCAACACATCAATTTGAGATGATAAATGACCTCGAGGTTGTCAAGCGGGTTTCATGATTATTCACATCTCTTTTATGATTCTCGAAATCCCGGTTACAAAAGTTGAGAGCACAATCCAAGATTAAACAAAACATTGATAAGATTCAATGAATATCAGAAAATCTAGGAATTTCATAAGATTGAAATTGGTAAAAGCCTTACCTACCTAAAATAGATTTGAATTTGATTACAACATGCCTCTTTAAATTTCAGATCGAAAATATGGATCTTCCACACCCCTACCCCCCCCCCCTCCCCATGTGACTCTCCCAACATCATGAGTTGATAGATATGAAACAACTAAATCCCCTTTTAACATGTAAGCATGAAGATGGAATTTATGTGTGTGCGCACCTTCTAAAAACGAAGTTGTACATCAAGAACATTCATATGACGAATCTCGATGTGACCCTAATTGATCTGACCTAGATATTGATGGTTGTTGAAGCCGAAATGCTTAGGAACATAACTAAAGTAGAAATGCTTATAGGGTCTAATTCCATGAATTTTGTGGACAGTAACAATGGTAACATTAGTGATCTAGAAAAGATTTCTCTTCCCAATCGAAAGGGATCAGCCAAGGTCAAACCACTTGATCATATGGTAAAGAGAAATGCTCGTTTTAAGATCATTCCACATGTTAACCCCAATGATTCCATTTGTTTCTGTTGCCAAGTAAAGGGACATTAGAATAGAAGCTATCCAAACTACCTGATAGATCTTAAAGATAGTAATGTCAAGTAATGTGACTCTACTTTAGGTACACCCATTATCTAACTCCATAAGTTTTTATTCTTAGACTCTTAATACATAATGTGATGATCACATTTTGATGGTATTGTAGGATATAACATAAAGAAGGAAGCTTAATCGTAGTGAGCTAAGTCTGATCGTGGGAAATAGACTTTGGTCACATGGTTCGATGGTCATAATTTGGAGCTACTTCTAGGGAGTTAGGATAATTTAACAAATTGCTATTACTCTTTTCAAACATGTTTAGAAACATAGTTTTCACTTCATGCATTGTATGGACAACTTACAAGATTTTCATTTATTTTAATAAAAGAAAAATTTTGGTTTATGAAGTTGCCTTATTTTTATTTCCTAGCAATGATATTTATAAAAGTGTCGGTTATGTTTCTAATAATAGAAATATTAATTCTGGATTTGATTCCTATGATATCAATTGTGGTACTATGATAATTGGTCAGGTGAAAAGAAATCGCATCACCAACTAGACAGATATTTGGTGCCGTACAATTTGAATTGTATATATTTGAGAATCTTGTTCATTGGAAAATTAAGACTTAAATCATTGTTTACATGTTTATGTGAGGAAAGTGAAAGACTCATGGATCTATTACATATTAATATGGACTCTTGATATCCACCACAAGGGACGGTAACTCTATTCATCATGATTTATTAATGTATCACTAAATATGATTGTGTTTATAAGATTAAATAGAATTATGACACTTTGAAAAGATTCTACGAGTAGTAGAATTAATAGAAGAATCAATTAAGCAGAAAGATAAAAGATTCTCCAATCTGAAAAGAACGGAGAGTGCTTTAGTATCATGTTATATGATCCTCTTAGTAATTATGGAATTTGTATTACCACTAATCCTCAAAGAAAATCTTAGTGAAATTGTATAACTAAGAGGAGGAATCGAACATTGTTGGAAATGGTTCGATCATAGATGAGTCGTACTTTGTTCCAATCAAAGTTTTAGTGCCATGCACTAGTAACTGTAAATCATATCTTGAAACTTATTTCAAAACTGAGAAGGATGATAATGTTGTATTAGGTGTCAAAGACCATAACTATAATTAGTATAAACTTGAACTGATGGTAGCACAATCCTTTTGGGTTGCCCGCAAACCCAGCAGTTGGACATGATGTTTTTGGAGAGAGAGTTAATTTATTATTTGATTAATAAATTGAAATAATTTTTTTTAATATATTGTGACAATAATATATTAATTACAAATATTAATACTTAATTGATAATTAATTAGAAATTAATTGGAATTAATTTTGGGTTTAATGGAATTAATTAAAAGTGTAGGGACTAAAGTGTAATTGTTCAGTAGTTGAGCAGGAGGCATTCTAGAATCTCCTTAATATGTTGGACGGTTTTGAGGTGGATTCTAGGAGTCTAGAATTATCATTGGAGGATAATTAGGAAGTTGGGTAGTCACCAAAACAAGATAATGTTAGTTTATTGGTTTTGGGGTTATCTAGGGTTTCCTACTTGCACAATATAAAGGCCCTTAGACCTAGGATTTTTGGCACTCGCATTATCCCAAGGGTTGGTTGTCACACCCCCAAACTGGAACGGAGGAAACGTTCGAGGTGGAGGACGTCATGTACAGTATCACAATAATTGTATAATAGTAATCAAAGTAACAACAAACATTTTATTAATAATATAGTGTTTACATTGAATTCGAATCACATATGATTGACTCCGAAAGTAAATAACAAAACAAAGACTTGAAGCTACTATGCTCCGTCTTCTAGAAACATGTGTGTGTACCTGTCTACTAGTTTCCTGAGAATACAAGTGATTTTGAAAGTGTATCAACATTTAAGTTGGTGAGTTCATAAGCATTTGATTTAGAAAGTATGCACTTTGTTCCTTGGAAACCTTAGTGTGTTCCTCCCGAAAATCCTATATTTTTTGATGTAATGAAATGTAAGTAATATGACCCATACTAGTTCCTTCTACGAGTACTTAGTGCATACAAATTATATACAGTCCGGATAGAACAGACAATCGATGGTGTGGTTGTTCCTTAAGCCCACAACCAAATAAGGAATGGGAAATGAGGCGGAAATCACACATTCCACTGCCTGTCGGATCTTTATTGTATATAACCCTAACGTATCCACTAGGAAATTACAGAGTTAACAGTAAAGGTCCTTTTGGAAATGTGAGTGTGTTCTTTCAGAAAATCAAATATTTTCTTAGTAAAATGAGATGTAGCCTTTAGGCTTTAAGACCAAAATGTATGCATATTAACGTACTCTGAGATAGTATACTTGTAGTTTTATTAATTAATAAAACTATATAGATATAAGTGTTCCCCATAAGTATATGTTATGTGCTAGAAATAATGTACTATACTTGTATATAGTGACTTGACCTATACCTATTTTACTCTATGATTACTTAGTGTATACAAGTCATATATAAATGTGACAACCCAAAAATTTATTGCCTTCTAGCCTTGTTGAGGGTCGATCTATTGGGTTTTAAGCCTAGTACACTTAAGGAATGAGTGATAAAATGTACCTGCTAGAGACTCTGTGCAACATTCAAGCCTTTACACCACCAAAAGGAAGTTCACGACCACAACACTTGAGTTTACGGCCATAAACTCAAGGTGGGCCGTAAACTCCCTCCATAAGACTCCTTCACTTCACTTTTCTTTCATTATTCACACTTTCAACTCAAGAAAACTCCATTCTCTCTCAAGTATCATAAAGCCTTTCATCTTAGATCTTCAAAAACAAAAGCGATTCTTCCATCTAGTTGTTGATTATCCTTCTTATTCATGAATCACCCTTTGATTCCATCCATGAAAACATCTTTTGGCTAGATCTTCATCTTTCACCAAGAACACACACTTGTTCTTGGTGGCCG